ATAGATCACGGCAGGGGCCCCAGTTAACAATCTTCGCAACATGCTTCTCGTCGGGGATGCGGCCTTCGTGGGTGCAGACGTGACCAACGACAGTAATGGTGGGAGAGCAGAGAATGGCCTTCAAACCAGAAAAGGTGCCGCCGCAATATTTCATGCGCTGCACAATCCGATTTAATGTTGCGAAATGTTCCCAGACAAAGCAGTGAATCCCGGCGTTCTCAGGGATAGTGTCGTAAGTGCCATCTGAATGCTGATAGCGTGATGCTGGACCACGAACGGGGACGTCGTCAATATATGGGATGGTGGCGTCGGGAATCTCGGGCTGCAATATGAAAGTAATGTCGTTGTGAAAGATCGGGACTGAATTTGTCCAGCCCATAGGGAGCGTGACGAGTCGCAAGGCACCGTAAGGTGTTTGGAAGGTGGTGTAGTCACGAGACGGCTCTGCGAGCAGACGCTCATCGTAACCAACATACAGATCTAACATGCCGCCACAAGCACGGCCAGCGAAATGCTCGGCGACTTGATCGGTAAACGGCGGGACACCCGAGTGCTGAATGGTGACGGCATTGAGAGGCTCTAGACTGTGAACAAGACGTAGACTGGTGCCGTCCTTCTTCACGACGCAAAACCAGCGGGAACGGTATGAGGAATTTGATGGTTCGTAGACACCAGCTGCGATCTTCGTGCGGATAACTTTGCAGACTTCGTCGTAGATGCCTGGAGGAATAGGAATATTGCGTTGGACCCAGGGCGTGTGCGGAACAACGGGGATATCAACTGGGGGGAAGAAATCAGTGCGAAACTTTCCGCGCTCGGAATCATTCCATGCAAATCCGCCCTTGTGAACACTCATAAAATGGTGCATCAGCTTGCGTTCCTCAGGCCAAAGGAAATTGCCCGGATGCAATTGATCAATGATATCGCGGCGTTCGGCAGTATAACGACTTGTGGGAACAAAAGGGGGGGGATTGGGATCAAGGGTAGGAAGGTCGGCAAGAGGGTCGCCATGAATATGGCGGATGATGCGAAATTTATCAGGTAAAGTGCCGAGTACTGGGCGCACTTTCTGAGCAACAGGTTTATACTTTTTCTTGGCGTACGTGGCGACCGGTGGAGACGAACTGGGACGAGATAGAGTCGGGTTTGAGGAAGAAACTGAATTATTATTGGAAAATGTGGAAAATGAGGTATTGGTGCGAGTTGAATCATGTGTGGAAGGAGCAGCAAACGTCGGTTGAACGACTGTATGCGCGTAGGTGATAGTATCGGCGTTCGAACTGAGATTTGTACAGGCCGACAAATAAATATGTTGGAGGTGGGAAAGGGAATAATCAGGAGTGAGATCGGAAGACGATTCAATGATAAATGAGCCGGGCTTCTTGGGATCTGGTACGATCACGAGGGCTACCTCTCCTTGATCCAAGATCAATTCCTCGAGGGTTGAAAACCCTGAGTGCGAGAATGGGGTGGACCGCACGGCACCGTGGGCACGGTTTTAAGCGCGTAAATTTCGTGCTCCAGACTGTGAATGCGATCTTCTTCCGACAGCTGGAAAGTACTCGTGGTTGTGGTGGCAGGAGCAGAGGTGGACGGAACTGCGGCAGGATGCGGAGTCGACACCTCAAATAAAAGCTGGGCAGCGGCAAGTTGGCCGGGATTCTGACGATGCCATTCCTCGATGCGGGCACGCAGATTAGGTCCTAGAATATTTCGGGGAACGAAAGCGCCACTGGGAAGAGTGACGCGTCCGTCGGAGTTACGTTTGCATTTGCCGGCTTGTGCATCCTCATCAAAGTGGGAGCATTTAATAATAAAGTGGCCGGGCTCGCCGCAATAACTGCAATTTTGGTCATTACGGGGTGGGTTATGTGATGGCTGGGAAGAAGGGGGATGCGAAAGCTGAAGCTGCTGTTGGGCCGTAAGGACTTTAATTAACCCATTCATGGACTCGAGTAACACCGTAATGCCGGGTTCCTGCTTTATTTCCGACTGGCTCTGAGATGTAGGCATCTGAGAGGCGGCAGTGGAGACGGGAGCGCTGGAAGTAGTGGCCAAAGCGAATTCAACTGCTTCATGGAGATCAGCAATTTCGTAGGGGTCATCCGGGTGAACATCCGGCTTTTTGATTTTGAGGCGCAACTCAACCTCCTGCCAAAGACGTGGAGGGGAGATAGCACGACGAAAGCCTTGCTCTGCTCGGTGGCAGAAAGGCGTTGGCGAGCGATGAGGTATGTGGTGATGACAAGGAATTGTCGGTAGAATTCGCTATAATCCCCTTTGGATAGAATTCCAACACGGGCATACTGGCCAACGAGAGCATCGAGGTCGGCAAGGGAATATTTGCGGTCGGCATCGTTGCCAGGGTAGAGTTTCAAAACAGCGGCCTTGAAGGCGGCATAGGTGTGAGGAGCTTGAAACTCCGTGAGAGCCTCCCAAATGTCCTGGTCATCGACACCAAGGAAGCGTGTGGCATGTTTCTTTTTCTCGGCCTCGTCGGTGACACTCAAGCGAGTGAAATGGTACTCGAGGTCGGTAAAATAGCGCTGAAGCTCACGGGGCTTCGAAGAATCGAACTGCGGGGCATTGCGGTCACCACGTGCAGGCATTGGAATGGGAGGGGCGGGATTAGCCATAGTAAGTGGAGTGGGAGTGTTCGCACAAGTGACAGGGGGTGTCAGGAAGAAGTTCGCTAAAGTGGGCGAGTCGGGATCAACAGGCGATAAATTGGTATGGTGCGCAAGGTGGTCGGGAACAACGGTGAAGAAATCGTCGGGATCGAGTAGGTCGTCGGGATTCTGATGGACGCTGAGTAACTCAAAGCGTAGATCACGGAGTGTGTTGGGGCGAAGGATGCGAGACGAGCCTGAATCAATGGCTAAAAGGAACCCCCTCGCGGTGGGCTCCAAATATGATACGCCTACAGCGCGGCTGAGAGCGGAGCTAAAATAATAATAACGGACAGATGGGGTAAGGGAGACCGCTCCAAGGGCCGTAGAACTTGTTCTGATGTGCGAGGAAGTTCAGCGTTGTTCAGACTCGCAGGGCAACACAAAGGTAAACAAATACTGATGAACGCGGGATGTTGAGTTCAGCAACGGCGAGGGCTGATACGAGAGCGATATAAGACACAAGGGACGACGAGGGACACGATATTGAGGGTGAGAGCGAGGAAGACGAGTGAAGCACGATTTGAACTGGAGTTGCGAGTGGGGGAAACTTCGTTCTTCTTGAGAGTAAAACTAGCTAGGATTTATAGTGAGTTTGTAGTTACGTTGTAAGCGGTGAAAAAAGGGACAAGAGCTGATAAAAATTAAACCAAAATTGTGCAAAGTGAAACAGGGAGGCAGGCGGCGAGAGATAAAACAGGTACAAGTACAATAATAAGCCTTAGAAAGGAATAAGCCAGGGGAGTTTCCAGGGGAGAGTATGAGTATAGGGTAGGCGGCATTCAGGGAAGGCGGGGACTACGCGTCAAGGATGCGTGCGGGCTGAGTGATATATTGACGGTGTTTGCTGTCGGAGGTAGCAGTTCGGGGTGTTCCGATGTTGCATCGCCACATACTTCAATCAACGTGTTGTGACATAATTCCGTGGCCAGCGCCGGGTCATGCTCATCAGTGGGCATACAAACTGCACTCTGCATGAAGCCTGGCCAGAGGACTACAGTCATCATGCAGCGGGTAATGAGATGGACAGTGCCCTTCCCCATGCCGGCCCAATTGGTGACAGCCTGAATGCTCGCCACATTTCCATCATGAACGAAGCGGTAGAGTGCGACAGCGACTTACTGATCTACTGGAAGCTGCAGGTGATTAGAATTGTTGAAGAAGACAGGGTGCTCCTCCAAGGCCGCAACAAGTTTGTCAAAGGTGAGGGACTGACACAAAGATTCTGTTGGAAATGATCAGTATGCCCAGCCTTCAGCGCCGTGAGGACATGGAAAAGTTAGGAGGGGCCACAGGGCAGGGTATTGCGAGGTTCTTGATAGTGCTGCTGAAACATGCTCTCCACTTCATCCCGGACCCATTGACGCAGTCTCAGTTGGCAGTGCATGCTATCCAAGTCCGAGTCACTCAAGTCTTCACTGTATTCATCATTTCCTTCTGCACCTGAAGACCAATCCCAGTTGGGCTCTGACTCGGAGTCGGAATCTGAGGAGTTGGAGCTGACAGAAAAGAGCTCAGGCATTTCCTGGGCAGATGGCAAGCTCAACGAGTTTGATGTCATGGAACAATCCCCATCAACAAACATATCATGACAACACCAGTTTGGACCCAAGATATCACTTCATTCAGACCCTGGGTCACTGTATGTGGTATTGTCCGAGTTGGTGGAGCTTTCACCGGAGCTTGTTGTGTCTGAATCGCTGCAGAGGAAGGCAAGGTCAACCTGCAAAGAAGGAAGTCAATTTTCTCGACGAGCTTGGGCTGCAGCGCATTGACATAAAAGTGCTCGTCTCGGCCAGCCTTTGTGGTTGCAGATATAAAACTTAAGGAGGGTCTCTGCCCGGGCGGCATGTCATGTAGCGGGAGGCATAAAAATCTCTTGAGTCACATGAAACGTAGTGAGGACAGAGAGCGGCAGATTGCGTCATCAACGTAGGAATATTCAGAACACAAAAAACATACTAAACAAGCTGGCAGAATCAAGTTGAGAATCAGGGTGGTCAGAATTGAGCCGATTCTGGGGTGATTCTCGGCTGATTCTGATGTAGGGAGTACTTATTGTATATTAGCTGCTAAATGAGTGTCATTTGCATCTTGGGTTGTGCAATTGGCCAAGTGAAATGACCGGTTGTCAGTACCAGTAATTTTTCAAGCATTTTCGGTCAAAAATAATCTGAGAGCTGAAATGATCTTGGGGGTGTTTTGACAAGGGGGTGAATAAAAAAAGGAGCATGTAGATGTACATGGATGTTCTCTTTTTTTTGTCTTTTTCAATCTTTTCTTTTGTCTTTGGTGAATGATAGTGATGGCCAGTTTCAAACACATCCCGCAGGGCACATGGTGTAGTTGGTTATCACGCTCGCTTAGCATGTATCGAATACTGGAATTTGCGAGAGGTGTTGGGTTCAATTCCCAATGTGTCCAATTTTTTGCTCTCTTTCCCTGTTACCCCACCTGTTATCGCTTTTGGTCAGGCCCATATTGGGGTCTGTACGGCCCTCAGTCTGACCACCACCTGATGCAAGGGAGAAATCAGTTGCTGATTGGGCACCTATTGGGCTCTTGGGTCTGCCAGCCCAATACTGCATTCTCGTGACCTATCACCCCTGACTCAAGCAGCTGCTACTCCTTGCTGTTCTCCGATGCTTAATTTGCACCAAAGGTGCAAGAAAACACAAAAAGAAAACTAGGTAGAATACAAGAAACTAAAAGTAAAGAGGTTGCACAAATGAGGGTGAACAGAAAGAGGATGTACATACATGAAAGCTCTGAACTGGAATCATAACAGTCAAGGACATGACAAGTCTACTCACTGAGTTACTAATGCAGCTCTGCTGCATTTTCTCAAGTCGCATAAACACAAATTTTGATGTGCCAGCTAGTGGACTAACTCACAAGCTAAAGGCACAACCACTGCTAGCATCCCACCAATGCAGAGGCCCACAACACTTATGATGGAAGCAGCACAATAGTATCAGGGGAGGGGGACAACAGCGGGAAGCAATGGTCAGATGAGAATGATCTCCAGTAGATGGTGGTGGTGAGAGAGAAAGAGAGGTGGGTTGCACAGCGACAGCTGCGAGGTTTGTATACCCCGCACTCCACTGGCAAGTGCAAGCTGCTTCCTCCAGACTCTTATGTTTCCACAACTTGTGCACCACATATCTTCATGCCACTGATGAAGACATGTTTCTGAGGGCCCTTAATGCTACAGAGCATGCATGTAATTAAATATAATGTGATATCCTTTTGTCATGAATCACCTGAGTTTCGCTTTTTCACAATGTGCCTGTACACATACAGACACGTCTAAACATCATGGGACTCACATGACGTGACCATGGGACCTTCTCACAGTTGAAACCTGCACCCAGGTTTTAAGGGATTGGATACTGAAAGACCTTAAGGGTTAGGGATCCCGCCAGTCCCCTAACCCCCCACACTATGGTAATAGCACAGGGACTAGGAGCATCAGCATTAATGCTCCTTAATTTTGTGGCACAGGAATTGAGTGTGATCATATTTAATTTATTCAGATTGTATATGAACTCAGTAGAATCTCCTTGTACAATAGATTCTACCTCATCTAATCTCAGGCTTCTGCTTTGGCTTGACTTAGAGATTGTCTCCACCCTGTCCCGCTTCCTCTCTGTTCTATTGTGGGTTGCATCCACACCCTGGGTATTATACCTGAGTGGATATCATACCCTGTTCAACTCATTCTGGGTTCCACCTCGCACACTGACCCACGATATATGGCCTCCTAACAAGGAGTCCGTTTGGTTGGTCTTGCTGCTTGGGGAACACACCAGTTATTAGCTCCTGGTTGAGGTTCTCATCGGGTTGCTCATTGTCTAGCCGACCCAGAGGCCGTTGCTGACATATTGACAAACATTTACAGCAATTTTACACTCTGCCAAGGTCCTACACCAGGCTCCATCTGTTGACGTTTTCCACACACACCAACCTAACTAGGCTTGAATCTAGCTGCTATATGGTACAAGTCAACGTCTATTGACAGCATTCATAGACAGACCAGTCACTGGGCATAGTACAATCTAGTGACCAAAAGGACCTCAAGACATATCACACCGGCAATTGTGAATATTCAGCTCGGCTGAACATGTTGGCGAGAATGATTGTTTTGGCCCAGGGCTGAAAATGTAGTTGAAAATGACGGATTCAAGTCAGCTTTAATGAGTTGGTGACACCATGACATTCAGCAGCGCTTTCTGCCATGCCGAATATAACAGTTTAGGCTACAAATTTTCCATGGCAGAAAGTGCAACTTAAAATTATCAAATCAGCAGCAGTTTCAGCTTGAGCAAAAGTGATGGTTTCAGTGTTGTCGAAATTGTAGCTGAGAAGGTCAGTTTCAGGTGTGTCGAAACTTATTGTTTTGACTGGGCCGAAATGGTGGGCAAAAACAATAGTTTCAGTGACTGTTTAGGCGCACCTGAAATGGCAGCCGAATGTTATTGTTTCAGCTCAGGGTGAAAGTGAAGCTGAACGTGTTGTTTTCAGCTTGAGCTGAAAACAATCTGCAGATGAGCAGCAGATGATCCACTCCTGCTCAACTCAACCATACTTTGCCTTTTTTTTCTTTTGATTATTTTGATGTCCCAATGTGTGCAATCGAGTTGAGCGGCAGGAGAGGCAGATCATCTGCTGCTCATTTGCAGATTATTTTCAGCTTGAGCTGAAAGCAACACTTTGGGCTTCACTTTTGGCCCGAGCTGAAACAATAACATTTAGCTGTCATTTTGGTTGTACCTAAACAGTTGCCACAACTATTGTTTTCGCCCGCCGTTTCAGCTGAGCTGGATCTTATTGTTTCGAAAGAGCTGAAAGTGCAGTTGAAACTGGCATTTCAGCTACAATTTTGGCAACATTGAAACCATCATTTTCACTCAAGCTGAAACAGCTGCTGATTTGATGATCTTAGGTCTCACTTTTGGCGATGAAAAAATTGCAGCTTAAACTGTAATATTCGGCATGGCAGAAAAAGCTGCTGAATCTCATGGTATCAGCAACTCATTAACCTTACTGAATCCATCACTTTCAACTACATTTTCAGTCCCCAGCCGAAATGATCGTTTTGGCAACATGTTCAGCTGAGCTGAATATTCACTTTTGCCGGTGTGTATCTCACCCATTCTTGTCTACTTGACCATTCTCATGCCTGTCATGAATTAGCAAAGCATTTTCAATATGTGCAAGAACTGTTGACTGCTCCATTGTCAGGGAACCGTTGCCGTTGCTTTCTGTTGATCTACCAGCTGATCTGTGGACAGTGCATTATCCACCAATGGTGCATCCCTTGCTGATGGCCAGTTGCACTAGCATGTGTTATGTGACCAGGCCCATTAAATAGTGTAGTTGGCTACTTCAGTTGTGGAAGACAGGTACATGGGTATCATATAGGCTTCTGCTTAATTGTAGATCTTCTCCCCACCATTACTTGAACCCTTCCTGTGTGTTCATAGGGCAAATAGTGTAGTTGGTTATCGCGCCCGCTTCGCAATCGGTGCGTAATTATCTGAGATTATGTAACCCTGTGATTGCGGGAGGTGCTGGGTTCAATTCCCAGTTTGTCCACTCTTTTTCTTTTTCTTCAAAACCTTTTGTTTTATCCCTAAGATACCTATAGTGATAGTGTGAAGCAAATGTTCATTTTTTTAGTTGTAAGGAGATGCAATGGCATTCTAGCTTGGTAGCAAGTCAAAGTTTTCTGTGGTTTGGTGTTGTAGTTGTGAAGAACAAGGGTGATCTTGATGAAGAACCGGATGTGAATAAATAACAAAGACATCAAACATTTCATAACAATCCCATTTACCTTACCTCTGCCTGCAAATTCTAGATGCTCATACTTGCCATCTACAGCTACAGAAATGCATAGTTAGTCTTTTCTCAAAAGAAGTCTCTGGTATAAGAAACCATTTCAATCCATATACCAATTATCTTGGCCCGAGAGGTGTTCCAAACATCTGAAATTCCGAGTTTTGGGGGAAAAAGTTCAGTGTTTGGTTTGAGCCTGTCTGAAGTGAGAGTATGTATGTATATAATATATGAAAGCAGAATGGGAAGAAATACAGTTGTGCAGAGGAGATGTTTCGGCTGACTTTGTTTTGTTTCAATTTTATTTCACTGGTATGGTATGGATGGATGGTGCAGCTCATTACAAGGACACAAAATCATTACCAAAGAAAGGTCCACTGCAGATTTAACGACTGAGTGCAAACTGTAACAGCTCTACAGTAAGTAATGTGCCAATGACATTGCACTGGATGCAGAAGTTGAATGTGTCAATAATGATGGGAAGCTTGAGATGGGAAAGATAAGTATTGTGAGGAGAATCTTTTTGCTATGAATGAGCAGGGGCACCCGTATTGGAATGGAATGGAATGGAAGTAGCTGAGACCATGCTTGGACATTTTAAGACAACATGCGACGCTATCCCAAGTGAATCAGTGTCGATGTCAAGGTCAAGTTGTCAACAAGCATCAGGTCAGTGGGAGCTGCGCTAAACTGAAGATTGAAAAGCTGAACATGACATCCCCTGGATGAGATACCATTATGAATATTGCTCTCGTTCAATGAATGATTTTGGCTTCGATACAGAAGTCAAGGCTCCGAACCAAGGGAACCTAAATACCGGCGGAGCAATGTGATGCTCCACACGCCCCTACTCTTGTCAGGGCACATGGTGTAGTTGGTTATCACGCTCGCTTAGCATCGACGCAGTCTTCCAGAGTCATCATATGCGAGAGGTGTTGGGTTCAATTCCCAATGTGTCCATGTTTTTGCATCCCTCTTGGGGTTTTTTTCCCCCTGCGTTTGATTGATCCTGGCCTATGCGGGGCGGGAATCCACGGTGAGCCGTTATTTTCTCCCTGTCCGCGGACTAGGCTTTGATTGACCTATCGCCCTTTTTTTTAGTCTTACTGTATCTAAGTACTGTCATACCATTATGGGATGTTCGGCACGCGGGTGGACTGTTTTGGTATCCTCGTCCGACGTCGACTGTCATGAGAATTGACGGGTACATCACCAAATCCCGAAACCGTTACTAAAATCAAATGTATAAAATCGGTTCCGGTTCCGGTTGCGGTGAACTCTACTTGGAATACGAATTGGGGCATGAAAATTCAGGATCTTAAGCGCTATGCGGCTACTTTGTGCAATGGACCCTCACTACTGACGAATTGAACTTGCCTCGAGGGTGTGCTAAAAACGCGCGCGTGTGTATGGACGGGCTAAATAGCCGCATAAGGGCATAGTAGTTGATGGATGGCGTAACCAACAAGTCGGCGGCACGGGTGACGAGGGCGTCCTCCCCCCAAATCAATTCTCTCCCAGCTTCCTTTCATTGGGCTTTTCTGTTCACGCTAGCTGGGCCTTGCAACCCCGCAGCCACTAGATATACACAGCATTTCTCATCTGGTGATACCGACACTGCCTGCCGCAGTTTGGTGTAGTCTCGCTTTGAGCGCCTTGCACCCCTTGGAACTCTCGTCGAATCACTTCTAGCTAAGGCTCGGGCTCGTTCGGGATGGGAGCGTGCGCCTCGCAGCCCGACCGCGCGTCGAAACTGCACTCCGACTCAATCGACCGCGGCCTCGAAGAGGACGCCAAGCGGTACAAAAAAGAAGCCAAGATCCTCCTCCTCGGCTCTGGCGAGTCGGGCAAAAGCACAATAGTCAAGCAGATGAAGATCATCCACCAGGCGGGCTTCAGCTTCGACGAGCTCAAGGCCTTCAGGCCCACCATCCACAAGAACGTCGTGGACTCGGCGCAGGCGGTCGTGCAGGCCATCCGCGCGTGCGGGCTGGAGGATCTGCTGGCGGAGGGGCACGAGCATTTGCCGAAGATGATTATGGGGGTGGATTTGGAGAAGGAGAAGGTGCTGAGTGCGGAGGCGGCGGATGCGATTGAGGTGCTGTGGAGGGACCCGGTCGTCGCGCGGGTGTTGGACGAGCATCAGAGCGAGTTTTATTTGATGGATAGTGCGGCGTAGTAAGTGCCTTTCTGTCTCTCCCTGGATATAGGTGGATATGCTACGATGCTGATACATCCCGCAGCTTCATCGAGTCCATCCAGCGCCTCGCCGCGCCGGGGTACATCCCCACCGAGGAGGACGTCCTCCGCGCGCGCGCGCAGAGCACCAGCATCACCGAGACCCGCTTCAATGTCGGCGGGCTGTCGATCCATATGTTTGATGTCGGGGGCCAGAGGTCGGAGAGGAAGAAGTGGATTCATTGTTTTGAGAGGTGCGGATTTTATCCCTCTAAGTGATATGGGGACTAACGACGCGCACGCAGCGTAACGAGCATCATATTCTGCACGGCGCTGAGCGAGTACGACCAGGTGCTGCTCGAGGAAACCAAACAGGTGTGTGCTGCTTTCCCTCTTTCTCTTCCCGCTTCCTCCCTCCCTCCTTCGCTCCACTTGCTTCCTATTACACTGCACCCTCACCGTTTCTCCCTGCCCCCGCTTCCTTACGCTCACTCGCTCGCCTCCGTCTTTCCACTCCTATTTACTCGCTACCGCTCCTTCTGGCTCTCCCTCCCCCTCCCTGCCATCCTCCGTCCTGCCGCTCCCTTCCTATCATATCCTCTCACTCTCCTATTTCTACTGACATAACCCCCACCCAGAACCGCATGCGCGAGTCCCTCACCCTCTTCGAGAGCGTCATCAACTCGCGCTGGTTCCTGCGCACCTCCATCATCCTCTTCCTCAACAAGATCGATGTCTTTCGGGGAAAGCTGGCCAAGGTGGGTTTGCGAGGTTTTCGTTTTTCGGTTTTGAGAGGAGGAGGAGGTTGTGGAGGTTGCGGAGCGACGAGTATTTCTTGTGGCGGAGGGAGGAGGGCGGAGGGAGGCGGAGCGTGGAGGCGGAGCGTGGAGTGGAGTGGCGCTCCTCTCCTCGTTCCTCATTGGTGTGCGCTATGCTATGCCACGCATACTCGGCGTCGTCCAGGGTCGAGTGCTCGGAAGCGAGTAGTCGGCGTTGTGGTGTGATGGAAGGGGGGAGGTGGCGCCAGACGGGGCGATGGATCGTCGCTCACTCTGCTGCTCTGGTGTGCTCTGTACGGTGCGGCGTCGTCGGCGTCGGCGTAGTCACGGGGAGAGGACTCGGCCACTCCGCTGTACACCGTGGTGGGAGTGCGTTGTCGTCGAGGGCTAGTGACGAGTGGCGTAGCGGCGCGGGAGGGAGGAGCGCTGTGCACTACCGTCCGTGTGGGGATAGGGTGTCGTGCGGGGATGAGTGGCGAGACGCTTGACAGGGCGGTGCGCAACGGAAGGGGGAAGCGCAGCAGAGAGTGGATCGTGGTTCGTGATTCGCTCGTCCCAGGACGGCTAGGTGGGAGCGCCCAAGTGACGCGTCATCGGATCTGGAGGTCGCTCGCGACCTCCTCTTTTGGGGGAAGGGCGGGATGGGATGGGATGTGTGTGTGGATTGGACGGATTGCGCGGCCCTCACCGCTTCCCATCTCTCCTCCTCTTCTTCCTCCCCACCCCTCACTCTCCCTTCCCTCCGTCCCCTCCTACCCTACCCTCTTTCTCTCCTTCTCCCTCTTTCCTCTCTCTCTCCCTCGCGCGCTTGCTAACTCCCTCCCTCCTCTCTACTTCAGGTCCCCCTCGAACGCTACTTCCCCGAATACACCGGCGGCCCCGATATCAACAAGGCCGCGAAATACGTGCTGTGGCGCTTTATGCAGGAGAATAGGGCGCGGTTGAGTGTGTATCCGCAGTGAGTGTGTTTCTTTGGTTTTTTTTTCTTTTTTTTTTTTTGGGGGGGGGCGTTTGGTTCTTTTGGTTTGGGGGGAGAAGAGGGTTTTTGGAAGTGGGAGTGGGGGTGGATAGAGGAGCGGGGGGGAGGGGAGTAGCGAGGGAGGCGTGGACGGGGCGGCGTACGAGATGTGGTGGGGGTGCGTCGTACCAGCAGTGTAGGGGCGGGGGTGGGGTTGGCGAGCGCGAGCGCGGTCGATTTGGCGATGTGGGAAGGGTTGGGTGCGGGAGCGAGTATGTGGGGCAGAGTCCCGTGGCGGTGTGAGGAGCGTATCGCGATATGGGAGGGTCAAAGGCGGAGAGGCGAGGCGGAGAGGGTCAGGAACAATGTCGCTCTCCTCGCTTGCCTGACCAGACAGAGGTGCGAGTGGAGCCGATGTGCCCTTTTCGCCTGCATTCGATGAGATGGGACGGTACGGGCGATGGTGCAGACTCTGGCGTGGTCGGATCGGGTTCGGGCAGCGCGCAAGGCGCAGGTGCCGAGTCGCGTCCACACGCTGCAGAGCAGAGCTCCATGTCGGTGTCGATGTCGATGTGGGAAGGTCGGGAGAGGACGACGACGACGGGACGGCCTCGCTTTTCTCTTTTTTCTGCTGATGCGGGTTTGGGAGGACCCGCGGCGTTCGAATGACATGAGCGATGTTTTTCGTCCGTGTGTGGAGAGACTGGGGAAGGCACGGTGGCGTGGCCTGCTTACAAACATATCTTCCTCGGTGGGGTGCGTTCAGTTTCGAGCGCTGGAGTCGATCGGTGTAGGAGCTCCGAATCGACCAGCGCGGATGTCGAGCCGGGCCAAGTACGCCCGAGTCGAGTGGTGCGCTAGTCGAGTTTTCCGAGGCGGAGGAACAAAAGGCGGGATGTTTCTTCGTGTGTGCTGCAGAGCTGCACAGCGTCAAGCTGCAGTGCGGGGGTGTTGAGCTCGACTCAGGGCCAGCGTCGGTGTCGAATGGGCTCGAGTCGGTGTGAGACGAGACGACGAGAGGCTGGACGCCTCGCCTGCGCGGTGCGATGGCCTCGTAGCGTCACGCTCTCCTCTCCACCGCAGAAGTGGCGAGCAGCGCCATGCTCCCCAGTCGAGACCGATACGAGGCGTGAAGGGTCAGGAGGTGTGTCCTGCTTGCTTCGCCTTCATCGCGCGGTGCAGCGTCGATGTGGGGCCGGTCAAGAGACGGAGGCGGAAAAGGAGGAAAACCTCCTGGCCCCACTACGCGCTGCGATGTATGGTCCGGGGTTTAAGTAGCTTCGGATCCAGCCGGGCGGCGTTTCCTTTCCCGCTTTCTTTCCTTGTTCTGCTTTGGACATGGTTTCCTTTTGGGGAGGGCTGGAGCCGAGAGACGAGGAGACGGAGCCCTCTTCCCTTCTCACAAGGAGCCTCGCGCGACTTCGACCTCCCTCTTAGTTGACGTCTTTTTAACCGTCCCTCTTTCTATCCGCCCACTTTCCTTTCCCACTCTCCATGCACAGTGCTCACCACTTTTTTTCTCGTACCACAGCCTCACCCAAGCGACGGACACGAAGAACATCCGTCTCGTGTTCGCGGCCGTCAAGGAGACGATCCTGCAGAATGCGCTGAAGGATTCGGGGATCCTATGACCCCACCCCCCCCTCCCCCCTTCCCCTCTTGATTCCTGAGATTCATCATCATTATCCTACCTCTTCCCCTACCTACTCACCCACCCTCGACCAACCTAACCCGAACATCTCACCGCCTCGACCCTCAAACGCGCAGCAACACTAAGCACGCGCACACGACTCGACCCCCCACCGTTCCCGATTCACCGACTCCGACTTGCCCCCACTGCATTTGATTTCTGTCTCGTCCTTCGTCCCGGGTGGGCGGCTGTTTCGTGTGCGTTCTTCGAACAGGGGGACGGGGACGGGAGTGGGGGGAAGGGAGGGAGTGGGAGAGGAAGGAGGAAGGAAAGAGATCAGGAGAGGAGAGCGACGTGGGAGATTGGACGGAGGAAAAGGAGGGAGGAAGAGTGGAGAACGGAGCACGGAGAACGA